TATATATATACAGTATATAGCTTTTAGCTTTTCCTTTCATTTTTTTCTCAGCCTATTTCCTCATGTCTGGACCCATCTGCAGTATTAATGATTATCTAGAATGACTTTCTGTTTTGACTGTGRTTTGCCGTTCAGAATTTTATCTGCTGCCTTCACAACAATCTATGAGCCCAAAACACAAAGCAAAAACAAAACAAACAAATAAAAAAACAACAAGAAACAAACTGAATAATGAAAGTTAAAGGGATAAAATGGTTACCTGACACTGAAGAGAGACGTCGAACAGCTGCTGATGGGTCATAGTGAGAATCACTGTCAATCTGAAACGAGCTGTGATCTGAAATAGTTTGTAAAATTAGAAGATTGTTCAGCCACTAATCACTTTGCTACTTCTGTAGCAGCTTACATTTTACATTTAATCATAAAACATGTAATTTCAAAAAAAGAAATTGGAATTCACCTGATTTGTACTTAYGTAGACTGGGCTGTTTATTAGGTTGTTTGGCACCCTCTACTTACAAAGTACTTACCTGGTATGTGCCAGGTACTTACTGATTAGAGCTGTATTATGATGGGACTTATTACCCTGACTATACCTGGTAAGTCCTTATATTCAGTAAGTACCAGGTAGTTCTGACCTGGTGTGTACAGGGCTGCATTAGGATTTGCTGTAATAAATGTTGTATTTTATTAAAGTGTTATGTGTCTAACATCTATAACACATATCACAGTATAATAAAATAATATAATGTTCATGCTTTCAAAGCAAGCATGAGTGAAAACCAAAAAAAAGAAATAACAAGTTAACTTATTATTGCTAAATTTCTGACAGTAAATAAATACTTTAGTCTCATGGTTCGATATGTTTTCGATACAAAAAATAGAAATGTCCATGCTCTTGTAATTTATTGAAATTAATTATAAACATTTGTTTAACCTCAAAAGTACAGTTTTTAAATCAAGTGTTGCTGAAACAGAAAGTTTCTCAGTGGATCTGCGCTCGACAATGCAGCCTATAGGTGGAATAGTCAAACACAGATCCACTGATCCTTCAACACAGAGCATCTTCAGACAAGTTGATAAAATAAATTTAAAATCTGTAAAGTTCCATACACAGTGCAAATTGATATCTAAAGCACTGCATCAAATGATTCGATACAGATACATGTATTGTTGCACCTCTTCTTATTATCCTGGATTTAACAATTAAGTCCTCATAAGTCCCAACTAGGTATAGTTCTTCTTACCTACAGGGCTGCATTATGTTTTGCTATAAAAATTGTTGCGTTTCATTAAAGTTTTATGTGTCTAACATCTATAACACATATAGTATGATCTAATTTTCATGCCTTCAAAGCAAATGAGTGAAAACCAAAGAAGAAACTTTATGAATACGTATGTATATATAACTTCCGATGAAGGTTATTAGATGGTATATTTATGATTACTTTTCTAAGTTTTTGTATGCATGATAATCAGATGTTAACTCACGGAGGTTCTGCTGCCATGAAGTTCTGTCTGAATCGGTGCTGATGAGGCCCATTGGGATGTTTTCGCCCACCTTCCAGCTCTCATCCTGCCAGCCTCCTCTGTGTGCTCCACGTTCAGCATTTCTTACATCGGGTCTTTCACCCCATAGTGTTAAGTCTTCATTCGTGTATGGATTAGTGTGGTTGGATTTCCTGGAAGGCCTAAACACCACAGCGAATAAACAAAAGGAAGCACAAACTCTTTCTTCAGGTCATATAGTTTATAACACCTGGGAGCAGTTGTTATCAGGTCAAGAAATAAACTGGAATTTAAAGTTATGATCATGACGCTTTTTCCGCCTCAGCCATTACAAGAAACAACAGATATCATTCCAGTGAAAAAAACATTAAATAACAAATTAAAAAGTAAAAAAAAAAGCCTCTAAATCATCCAATTTCACAGATATTGAGCTAAATGTTGGTCTTTGCGACAACAAATGACTAAATCTAGCTAGCTATCTAAATATTTAAGTTGCAACCTAAATATTTAGGTAGCTAGCTAAATATTTAAGTT